CCCCTCCCTTCCTTCCCCCCAACCTCAAGAACTTAGAAAACGCCAAGGCATCAAAGGACGATAATCGTTCCTATTTTTCAGTCAGGAGAAGAACCACAGAGTTGCACTTCATGAACGATTTCCAAGATGTGTTCGAGCAGGAAATCACACAGTCCGAATCATCACTGCCTTTCTCACCCTGGATCAGGATTTAGGCCACCAACAAACACTTTCCACCTTTCCCTGTCCCGAGTTAGCCGCTTGATGTTATTCCCTGGCTTCCCACTTTTCTACAACAGGCGTGTTTGTTCATGTTTCTGTTACTTTCAGTTTTAACAGGGTTGGGTAGTTGGCCCTCCGCAAACTGTCACTCTTCAGACCAGACCTACATACCTTTAGTCGCCTCTTACGACAGGCAGTATCACGACAGGTATTATTCTTTGCTCCCCCATGTAGAACTGTGGGGCCTCCCATCTGCAGGTGTTGTACAATTTAGGTACATGTACTTGTGTTTATCTTTACTTGTGTGTGTTTGTGTGCATGTGCATGTTTGTGCGTATGTGTGTTTGTGTGTGCAATCCTACATGCCCGAGTGCATGTGTGAGAATATGTTACATCTGTATAATATATACCAAAAAAAATTATAATACATACCAAAAAAAAATGTGGAGGAAATTAAAAGTGGTTGTTTGTATAGGTGATGGTTTTAGATAGATGGTCATTAAAGCAGGTTCCACCGAATACATTTTAAGTAAGCACCTATTTTTTTCATATCTTTAATCCATTCCATTTTCTTTAAAAATGTTGCTTCAAGTTTATCTTATGGCAAAAGATTTTTTGGCTGTGAATTCTCTTAGGGGTGGTGCTTGTGAAAAATAAGGCTCACAGTCAAACCTTCTCTCATGGCCATCTATCCAAAACAATCATCTGTTCAAACGACTACTTCTCATTTCCCCCCTTGTTCTTTTTCAAGATCATAATGCCTCTGTCCAAAACATACACCTCTCTAAGACAACCACTTTTCACCTCAAAAGGGCAGCTGTCTTTGACAATTTCGACTGTGCAAGCTTTGGAATAACTGTTATAAAAGTAATAAAACTTGAACTCACATAGCAGCAGACTTTGAACACATGTGAAAGGATGGACAAAGCTTTCGTCTCTGGGTCTTTCTGAACACTGGAGAAAGAACACAACAAAACCTATAGTGTATATAGACAGCAGTAATATATAATAAAGATAATAGACGCATTCATAAAGTGTATTTCCATGCTCTACACCACGCTCTATGCACTGTAAAACTATTACAATCAGCTTAACACTTACTGTGCCGGGAAAAGAAATCTATGAAAGTGGGTGGGTAGTGTCAAAGAATGGGCGATTGGATAGCCAATGACCAGACAGTTAAAAACTGGCATAATTAAAGTACAGTCAAAATTGTCCATTGTCAAGGAGAACAGGGATTGTCTTTGACATTTCTCTTGATATTTCTCTTGTTGTGTCACCTGTCAGGGAGTTGTGAGTGTCGCTCACTGGGTCCTGCACATGTGCCTAGTCACTCAAGTGTGTTGTGTAGCTGTGCTGGGCCAAGTGTCCATTTACCTGTGTATTCCTTAAACTTTAAAAAGTCACTGTCTAATACTCTAGCTAATAGGAGATTTTGACATAATACTAAAAAAATGTCCACCCCATGAAAGTTGGTGAATAGTATCAGAGGAAGGGGGTGATTAAGTACAAAGTAGCCCATGAACAAACCATAATAAACTGGCAAAAAACTAAGCTATCACCCTCACATCTTTCCACATCTTGACAATCAAAGTCCACAGTTTCCTATTCCTGAAAGTTAAAAGTGCACCTCCCACTGGGACACCCAAAAGTGACCCCAGTCGTTGCACACTAAATCTTGCAGTTCATAATGGAATAGAGAGAATGTTAACCTACGAGCTAATTGGAGCAGAAATGTCTCAAAAAGACAGATGCCTGAGCTCAACGGAGAAAGCTATGCAAACTGACAAAAGCATGGTCAAGAATTCACCACTCTAATAATAATAACAATAGTAATAATAATAATAATAATAATAATAATAATAATAATAATAACAATAATAACAATAATTAAAATATTAATAACAATAATAATAGCATTAACAATGATCACAATAATAATAATAATAATAATAATAATAATAATAATAATAATAATAATAATACATGACATTTATAAGGCGCTCTACCCTGATTAAAGAACACAGGCTCTGAGCAGGTAACAACGACAGACAATGCAATGTATTACAACTAGAAATCTATAATGTATATCTCTTTAATCTTACTTTACTTGCTTTTATTTTTTCATACTCTCTTGTCGTTAAGCGTCAAGGGGAGATGCAGTTTTCTATGGTAGGCCAGCTCTGCAGTTCTTTCAGTTGGGATGTTATGTTTTCTCAGTGTTTCTTAACACCCTCAATCCACCTTTCGTGTGGCCTTCCTCTTCTTTTATAGCCTGAGCGTTCGGTGTTGTAGGCTCTCAAGGCTGGCTGGCCAAGTGATATGTAACAGGTAGCCAAACCATTTTATTCTCTGTCTTTCTACATAATGCAGGCAGGACTTAATATCGATAGCTGCTCTTACTTCTTCATTTTTCTACCTATCTCGTCTTGTGATGTTAAGGGTGTTGCAGAGACATTTCATTTCACATGCAGTGATTTTGCTTTCATGGATTTTACTTAATGTCCAGGTGTGGCACTGGTAGTATAATGTTGATACAAATATTGAGGTGATAAGCTGTCTCTTTGCGTCCATTCAGATATTTGGATAAGAAAGGAAGGGTGCAAGCTGGTAGGTGACAGCATTGGCTTTTTAAGTTCGCACTTCTATTTCTCTGTCTATGGACCTGTTTTCAGAAAAAGTACAGCCAAAATATTTTAACTCCTTCACTTGTTTCAGTTGTTTACTATTGACATGGATGTTCAGGGGACTACTGTTTCGGCTCACTTTCATAACGTTTGTTTTTTATGTGCTTATTTTCATGTTAAATTTCTCGCAGCTGTTGTTCAGTTAGGTAGTATGATTTTGGAAGCCTTGTTGGTTTGGATGAATAGGACATTGGTTGTCTGTGAATAGAAGTTCATTTAGGCTTTCTGGGCTTTGATTTGCGTCTTTCGTTATTGTGTCCATATATATTATAAACAGGAAGGGAGATAGAACACATCCCTGTCGTACTCCAGATCTTACTTTGAACCAATCTGTATTGCTTTCCTTCATTATTACCGAGTTTCTGCTTCTGCTATAGAGAGCTCTGACATTATCTAACATTTGTCCTCTGACACCATACTTTTCAAGTGTTTTCCAGAGTTTTGCATGGTTTACTCTGTCAAAAGCCTTCTCCTGGTCTATAAAGATAATGTTGGATTCTTTGTTGTGTTCGATTGTTTTCTCGCATATCTGTCTTAATGCAAATACAGCATCTCTTTAATCTAAGAACAATAATGAACTGAGCTGAATTTAAAATGAATTTATCAAATTAATCTCTCTTGTATTATCAGGAATATGTGTACCTACCTTATCAAATCTTTGTAGAGAGCCTTTGTGACTTCGAGGTATGGCTGGATGTTATCTTCATATTGACACAGCCGGCCTCCCAAACAGATGTGGGAGAACAGCAGGAACAGGAACTCTTCTCTCTCTTTCTCGTTGAACTCGCAAAACACGTCAGAGTCCTCATTCAACAACATCTGGGGGAAAGGGGAGGGAGGTAGCAAATAAATCATGTTTTTATATTCAGTAAGCACTTTTGCAACATAATTTGGTCATCTTGGTGCCAACAATTAGGTCTTTCTAAAGAATAACACATAAGAAAAGAAGGAGGAGAGATAATGATGACAGATGTCAGATAGCAAACCACAATATTGCACCTGCCATTCACCCACACAGCAAATAAAGGGCAAAGGTGATTACAAATGGTAGATGATTTACACTCCTATCATCAAATAAAAATAGTTAAAAAACCCAACAACAATAAGACAACCTCATGCTCAGAACAAAGAGAAGCAGGTCATCCCCTGTCACGCATGAATGCTAAAACTGGCATCACATTAAGGTAGAAGCTCAGTATGAATTGGTGAGGGCCATTCTTACTTCCTTTTAAATTGACTTTACATCAAAACATCACATAAATAAAGTCGCAAATTCCGCACAAACACAGGGAAGATATAAATATACTTATATATGAAATATTTCAAGTGTCACTGGTTGTTTATTAACAAAATTTGTCCAAATTTGTCCCATGTATCGATTGGTAGGGAGTCCAACTGGTCAATGGTCAAAAAAATATAGACTGATATTCATTAACAGTTGCTGATGAGACGGTCGCACAAAGAAACCGCCTCCCCCCCCCCCCATTCGATTCCTATGAGGGGAGAACATTACTGGTCATTTTATGCATTCTATTTTTGTAGCAAAAGTACAATATGAAGCGTATCAAAACAAATTTCTTAGTAAGCCCTATAAAATCTCAATTTTTTGGGGTTGTATCTTCATGTTTACAAACATAAACGATGTAATTCGTTAGCCACACAGCCACAGAGATATATAGTGGAGCACACTTATACTGAAATCTGTTGGACCACCTGATATTCTTTAATTTAGCCGGAGTTTTATTTCAGAAAGGTTATTTATTTGAAGAAAAAAAATCAAAGATTTTATTTTATTTCTGTTCACCACTATTTCCGGATTAACCGTGTTCCGACTCCACTGTATATCAGGGAATCAACTCTTAGCATCCTGAAGGAGAAAAAATAATGTGATTCCCTAAACTTCTTCAAACACAATGTAGAAACAATTCAGTTCTCCCTCCCATACCTGTCTTAAATTGTCGCTTATCGTGAAATCTCCAATAAACTCATCAAAACATTTTTTGACGTCTCCGGATTCACGAGCGATTTCACCCTCACACAGTTTGTCAAAGAAACTCATGGAGAGCACTGAGCAGGGAACGCTTGTCACTTTGACTTTGCTGGCTTTTGTTCCTGGTAAAAAAAGAAAAGTTTAAGAAGATAATACAACTAAAAAATATTTCACATATTAAAACATATATATATATATATATATATACAAAAAATACAACTGGAATATATTGCCAAGATAAACACACACACACACACACACACACACACACACACACACACACACACACATGCACGCACACATACACACAAACACATTCAAACCAGAATTTTTAAAAAGCTAAAAAACAAGCAAACCAAAGTCAACTTGTCAGGAGCTTCTTCAATCTTTCAGAACGACACAGCAATCCAAATGAAAATGTTCCCATTGGGAAATATAAACTACCTTTTACGTTTTAAAAAGTGAGGGGGATTGGTGTGTGCTCTCATGTGGTTTGCTCCTTTTTTCCTGTTAAACATCTATCATCTTTATGTCTCTTCTTTATCTTTGCATTTGACTCTCTACTAACACCTCTAGATTTCAGCACTTATATGACCTAGATTTCTATTTGTGTTGCAAGTGTCATAAAACTCTCATTAAAACTAAAACTAAAAACACGACAAAGTCTTACCGAGTGAGTTGTATTTCCCTGAATTAGATGGCACCTCCAAAGCATTCACTACTTCTGAGTTGTTAAAAAAGTCCTGCCCAGAAGAATAAAATATATGAGTCAGGACACGATAGAATCAGGCGCTCGTCAATTTTTGTGCATGTTGAGTTATAGGTATCATCTTAGAACTTGTTCACTTATCTTGCTCTTGATGAAAAAAATACCCACTAATCTTTAGCAGAAGTGAAGATATTTGTGATTGACAGAGGTAGGTTAACTTGGTTTCAGCAGAAAAAATAGTGAGAAAATTGGCCACCAAAACTTTGATAACTTTAATAGCTAAAGAATCCTTGAAAACTGAAAAATTACATATTTTTGAGCTATTAATCAACGATTTTCAATATAATTCACATGGAAATGTGTTTTTATTCAGACAAATAAGGGTTGAACAAAAAAACAAAAATTAGATTAAATTGCGAAACTGGTCGGGAAAATGCCTGTTTCTCCTCTCTCACTCACAGGAGAAGTAAATATATTTGAAAAAGAACATAATTATGTTTCAAATCTTTCATCAAAGAAATTTGTCTCACCAAGGTATATTTATTTCAAAAGTCACTACATCATATAGCACAATCTGTTTGAAATAATACCTTCAGTCTGTTGCAGGGAGTCCAAGAGTTCAGCATAATATGATGTTATGCAAAATAGGTAGCAAAATCTGAGTTTAACATGTATGGTTAGACATCAAAGAAAATAACAAAAATGTATTTTGTTGAGAAAACAAATACAAGTCCATATTTATTATATAATGTATCATGTATGTAATCAAAATGAGAATCATGCACAATAAGAGTGATCTGTAATAATGCCATACACTTAAGAAGACTATTCCCCCTTCATTCCTACCAAACATTTATTGCCCTTATTATATATCTCCTCTTCTTCTTTTAGACAATTCTTTGTATTATGTTACTTATGGGATGAGGGAGACAGCAGAACACCACGCAATCATCAGGAAGCGGGAAATGGGGATAGCGAAGGGAGAAGGAAGAAAGGAACGGTTATCTGGAAAGGAAAGACATCGCCATAATCAGACAGCCACTGGAAAAATCAGTATGGATACCTTGCGGGTTTTGGTGCTGAGAGGAACTGAGCATGGGCCTGTCCGGTGTGCAATGACGTTGTTGCCCAGGACAGGTAATACAGGTAATACTTGTAACACTTCTTTAATCTTTGGCACTTGTATGACCTATTTAATGTGTTGCAAGTGCAGTAAAACTCTTATTAAAATTAAACTGCTGATTACTTATCGTTATACTCACATCACTGCATTTTTAGGACAGACATCCCATCATTTCAAATTTTGTTTTATGTCTTTTGACAAAACAACTGAAATTGAATTTCTAACCAGACCACTTTGTTGGATGCGATTTTCAGCATGAAGATATATAGGCTACATGAATATTTCCAAGCCAACATAGGTACAGAAGTATTCTCTCATGTCTGCTTTTAGTAAAGATCGTAGAAATGATATGGAGGGCAGATTGAAATGACTAACGAGTTCACGACTGAAACAAGCAGACACTATGTGCAGATAGAAAAAAAAACATTTTAAAATGGTATTTTCATGCCAAACCTGTCCAAACTTGTCTTTTTCATATGCCTGAAAGCATTGGTCAAAGGTGAACATCTTTGCTTTCAGTCTCCCCTTCATAGACCTGAAGTGAAAATTAGAGGGTGAAATTTTTTTCTTAAAAAAAAAAAAACCCAGAGTATCATACAATTTGTACTATATTTTCACTGCTACAAGAAAAAGCTCCAAAAAGTTCATCTCCTACGAAAAGTAAAAGCAGGATCAAACAGGATTGAATACATTAGTGTGTGCGTATGTGTGTGTGTCGTATGTGTGTGTGTGTGTGTGTGTGTGTGTGTGTGTGTGTGTGTGTGTGTGTGTGTGTGTGTGTGTGTGTGTGTGTGTGTGTGTGTGTGTGTGTGTGTGTTTGTGCACACGTGTGTGTTGTGACAGAAACGGTATGAAAACAAAATATAATTTTCAACAATATTTAACAGGTTGCATATATATAACCCTTTGCAGAACCCTAAATAACCTGGCAGAAGCTACAAATTCCCCTGCAGAAGTGAATATAAAAAACAAGAGATCATAGAAAACTAAAGTGAGTTTTCCAAGCTGAATAAAATGCCATGAGTGAGCTCAGGTACGATTATATCATGATGGTCAACCAAGATATGAAAGACATCATGACATCTGCCGGGTGCGGTGCCAATGATAAATTTTGCATTTTCAGATTGCATAAAATTATCAGAAAAAGATATGATATTTGGGGAACAGCAGCAGAATGTGACCTCATGTGTAGGCTACAGGGATAATTATTTTAAAAGGTCCAATAAAGATTTGTAAAAACATTCATTGTTTGAAGAAAAGATATAAATCTAGATATAATCTAGATTCTAGCATAAAAGTATATCTAGATCTAGATTATCTAGATCTAGATCTAGATCTAGATATAGTAGATCTAGAATCTAGATCTTGATCTAGATTCTAGATCTAGAATCTAGAATAAGTTAAGCAAACAATTTTCTCCTATCATTTATAGTATCAGTTTTTCCTGTTTTCAGGGTCAGACATACTTTCCGAAATTATTTTGAGTAGAAATGACGAGAGCATTCTGGCAAAGTAAAAAGGAAAATTCTAGACCGACAACAGCGTAAACAATAAAACAAGAGCACCGACTCTGACAGTCTGACTCGTCTTAACCCGCAGGTGCCAATAAAACGAAACACCTGAGGCTTAGCAATGAGTACGTTTTTCTAAAATTGGTGCTTCGATTAAAAAAAATACAGCCTACCATTTCATGAATAATTCCTGCACTTCTTTGCCGTCTAGTGAACTAAACGACTTGGCAAGAGGCATGAACGAAAATTTAGGATCGTTGTCGGCCATTTTCAAACAATGCGTATTTCTAAGGAAGGGAAGCTACTCTAAGAAATAAATTTTTGAAGCGAATTGACGCTGCTCGATTTCGTTCGTTCGACGTCATTATCATTATCATTATGCAGTGTTCTTCATTATAAAGCCTCAATTTAAAACAATACGCAATCATGTACTGTTATTATTTGTATAATTATGCACATGCTTATGAATTTGACCACTTGTCCCCTTCTTCTTAGTATGAAAGGAGAGAAAATTCCCCCATATTGTCCATGTTTAAATATTTAGCCAATTAAAAAAAACCCACTGTACATATTGTATTATTACAAAACAATGCTTCTCCCCTTCAGACAGACTGTCAGAAAACCTGACAAATTATGAAAGTCAGGGGAAACGTTTGCATTGTGTCTTTAAATATTTTACAATGTCAACAACAAAAAAAACCAAAAAAACACGTACTACTCTCTCGACTCTCTCTCT